CAGGCCTCAGGAGCCTTTCTTAGAATCAGCCCCACTAATTTCTGGTTGTCCCTGCTAAGTGCCAGGCACCCCGAGAGCCTGGGCTCTCAGAGATACGATCCTAAACCAAACCCACTGCTGTCAAGTCAATTCCAACTCATGGCGATCCCATGGGTTACAGAGTAGAACTGCTCCATAGGGTTTCCTTGGCTGTAATCTTTACAGAAACAGACTGCCAGGCTTTTCTTCCATGACGCTACTGGGTGGATTCAAACTGCCAATCTTTAAGTTAGTAGTCAAACACAAACTCTTTGTGCCACCTGGGTCCTCAGAGATATGATGCTGTTCTTGTTGTTGAGTGCTGAGTCTAGTTGATTTCAACTCATAGCACCTTCATGTGATGGAGCAGAACTGCCCCACAGGGTTTCCTAAACTGTAATCTTTACAGGAGCAGATTGGCAGGTCTTTCTCCTGTGGAGTCCCTCAGTGGGTTCAAACCGTCAACCTTTCTGTTAGCCCTATGGATCCTTGTGAAATTCCCCAGGGTTTACAGCCAGGAGGGTGATTGCTGGATCATAGGGCATATTCAATTACACTAGGCACGTGGAAGGAGTTCAGAAGGATGAACAGAAATTAGCTAGAATGAGGGGTACAAGAAAGGTCAATCCAGTATGGGCAAGTAACCACAGTAACACTTAGGAAAGAAAAGGGGAGGAAGCGGGATTGGGGTGGGGGGGCATCAGCCCACTATGCAGACCTGACAAAGCCTCTGTCAGCTCAACAGGGAGCTCTGACATATCGGATGGAAAGAGCAGGCTCTTATAACACCACCTTGCTCAGTCGTTGCCTGGTCTCCCTCACTGACCTTGGCTCAAACACCAAGAAACCACCCTTCTCATAGTTGTGCAGCTTGTCCTTTCTCAAGGAGGGATCCAGCGGCGCATTGAGTGTGGGGACTGATGGGGATGGACAAAGCTCAGCTTCTCTCAGTCCAGATTGGGCTTCACGTGAGGAGCACTGGCACAGAGTGGAGGGGGAGGGAAGGGCGTTAGCTAAGGGAGGACAGAAAAAGTGGTCCAGGAGGGGCTAACACTCTCAGATCAAATCCCCAAGAAGGCGGTAGCTGCATCAGTGTTCTCAGAGGTGCAGGGTAGGGGTGGTGCCTGCACAGAATTCTGATCCAAAGGATTTGTTAGGGAAAGGCAGTCTGTCTGGCAACAGTGTTACCAAAAATCCTATGTGTACAAACCAGGAAAAGAGGTGTGATGTGTGATCCCAAATTTATGATATTCCTGACTTTCAGCTGTCCTTCCTCAGATTCTTTGGCTGCTGATTTTATTTCTGGCAATAATACAAAATCAAAAAACCAAGGGGATTTAAAAAAACCAAAACAAAACCCTGTTACAGGCCAAACTATTTCAGGGGCTTTGAGAGTTGCATCTCTTCTGACAAACGTCAGCAGAGGTGTCTGTCTTCTGGAACCGTATCCTGCCCTGGCTTCCAGGACACTGTGCTCTCTAGGTCTCCTTTGTCTTTTACTGTCCCTTCACTGACTCCTCCTCCTCCTCTTCTTCCCCCCTGCAAATGGTCCAGCCCTTAACGTTGTGCTCTGCAATATTACACACCCTCCTTTGCAGGCTTCTCTCTGCCTCCGGCTTCAACTTCTGTCCCCGGGTCAATGATTCACAAATCGCCCATCCTGAGATTCCTCAGCCAGCTTCAGCCAGCTTCAGCCAGCTATGCCCAGCAGCCTTCACATCTCTTCACTTGCTTGCCTCTCTTGGGTGTTACCTCAAGCTCACTGTGTCAAAGAAAAACTCGCATCCTCTCTTCACACCGTCCCTGAAACAGCATTCCCTCCTGACTCGTCTACTGCCGTCCCCAGCCCCACTGATTTCCTCGTTCCAACCTTGGAGTTACATAACTAACAGATGCCTCTTGTTGAACCAGCAGCCGACAAATCCCAGGGATTCTTTTTCTGCACTAAGGTTTAGCTCTTCCCTTTTCTATATCCCCCATCAAGATTAGGCACCGAACGATCCTTTCTGTATCAGTGTTGAGGGCTCCCAATTGGCTCCTTAAAAGTCAAAAACACCAAACCAGTTGCCATCATGGTGACCCCATGGGTATCAGAGTAGAACTGTGCTCAGCAGAGTTTTCAATGGCTGATTTTTTGGAAGTAGATCACCAGGCCTTTTTTCCGAGGTACCTACGGGGTGGACTTGAACCTTCAACTTTAGTTTAGCAGCTGAGCGCATTAATCAGTTGTACCACTCAGGGAATCCAACAACTTCTTACCTCCATGGTTTCTCAGACATGCTGTTGGCCCTGCAGAGCCTTGTTTCTGACACTACAATGCTACTGTCCTGATAAAACACTCAGCATGGGTTCTTAAAGGGTGAATTCCAAGCCTGCAGGCAAAGTTGTTCCTTAACTAGTTCTATTTTACCTGTTTTGTTTTCATACTCATTGAATAAACGTGTACTTATTTCCATAGTAATTAAATGAATTCTGTGTGTCCAGGCAAAAACCAAAAACGCGTTGCCATCGAGTTGATTCCAACTCATAGTGACCCTACAGGACACAGTAGAACTGCCCCATAGGGTTTCCAAGGCTGTAATCTTTACAGAAGCTGACTGCCACATCTTTCTCCCTTGGAGCAGCTGGTGGCTTTGAAGCACTGATCTTTCAGTTAGCAGCTGAGCACTTAACAACCATGCCACCATGTCACCTAGCTGCGCCCAGACAGGGGAGATGTAAATCTGAATGGAATATGGTATTTGCCATATTCTGAAAAGCTTGTAGTCCAGAGGTGGAATACACGTGCTTATTACAGTTTAATTAGAATTCAGTGTGGAAAGTGCTACAGTCAAGTTCCCATGAAAGTCTATGGGAGAAAACTGGGAGCGGGAAGGTTTTTATAGATGATGAAAATATTCACCAGTGTATTTAAGGAGAAGCAAGTGTTGGCCACACACTTGGTCACTGGCCTTTACGTTAGCAAAGAACAGTCTCCACCATGTCCATCATACACACTGAATTCTCACCATCTTCTGTGACTCAGTCTGAATCACCCTCTACCCTCTCCTACCCTCTTCAAGGGCTTCCTAGTCTTTGCTAATTCAAAGTCTGCTTCCTTCCAAGTCCACTTGAAGATTAATTTCCCCCAACCTTTCCTGGCACTTATCTTTTTTATCTTCTCCTTTCAGTGGTGCACAATGACATCATTTCTTAACCAGAACCCTGGCACTATGCTATAGGGTCGCTGTCATGGATTATGTCCCCCAAAAAACATGTGTATCAATTTGGCTGGGCCATGATGCCCAGAATTGTGTAGTTGGCCTCCATTTTGTGATTGCAATTTCATGTTAAAGAGGATTAGGGTGGGATTGTAACACCACCCTTACCCAGGTCACATCCCTGATCCAATGGAAAGGGAGTTTCCCTGGGGTGTGGCCTGCACCACCTTTTATCTCTCAAGAGATAAAAGGAAAGGGAAGCAAGCAGAGAGTTGGGGACCTCATACCATCAAGAAAGCAGCGCTGGGAGCAGAGCGCGTCCTTTGGACCGGGATTCCTGCGCAAAGAAGCTCCTACTCCAGGAAAACACTGAAGAGAAGAAGGCTGACAGAGAGAAAAAGCCTTCCCCTGGAGCTGACGCCCTGAATTTGGACTTTTAGCCTACTTTGACTATGAGGAAATAAACTTCTTTTCATTAAAACCATCCACTTGTGGTATTTCTGTTACAGCAGCACTAGATGACTAAGACAGTCACTATGAGTCAGAATTGACTTGATGGCAACGGGGTGGATTTTTTTGGTTTGGGTACTACTCTGGAGGGCAAACGAACCAACCACCCAACCAACAAAAATCCCAAACCCACTGCCCTGGAGTCCATTCCAATTCATAGTGTTTCCAAGGCTGTACTATTTAGGGAAGCACAACTGCCACATCTTTCTCCCATGGAGCAGCAGGTAGGTGCCAACTGATGACCTTTTGGTTAGCAGCTGAGCTCTTTAACCACTGCGCCACTAGGGCTCCTTTACTCTGGAGGGCCCAAAAACCAAAAGCAAACCTGCTGCCTTAAGTCGATTCCAACTCATAGCTACCCTGTAGGACAGAGTAGAACTGCCCCATAGGGTTTCCAAGGAGCAGCTGGTGGATTCAAACTGCTGACCTTTTGGTTAGCAGCCATAGCTGTGAACCACTAAGCCACCAGGGCTCCTCTGGAGGGCAGAGGTCTTCAAATATGAACATGCATTTGAATCATGATGTGATTCGGCAGGTGTACCACAGGCACAAGAATCTGCACTTTGACACCTCCCCCACCAAGTGATTCACACACAGAGGATGCTGAACCACTTTAAGAAACACTGTTTTAGCCCTATGTCCTGCCTAGAGTGTCCAGGAAAGTATGTGAGTTGCTAAATGCTCTGGGCTCCAAGTATCTGCTGGGTGACTATTAGATACTTCAATTATTAATAGTACCCAGAGAGTCAAGAAAAGTGGCTCAGCTAAATGGGCAGCACCGCCTTCTCCGGAGCAGGCTAACTCTTGAGGCGTAAAATCTATCTAAAGTCGCCAGTAGGGCAAGAGGAAATTACATTTTCCGTCCTCTCGAAAAAGCAGCAGCCATCACCCCAAATGACCTCAGTGCGTCTCGAATAAATCATGCTTCGGAGAGTATACAGAACGCACCACAAGTTAAATGGGTTAAAAAGGAAAAGCCTCCAGACACTCAATGCACTCAAAGCAATCATGCTACAGTCACAAACATCACAGTTGTAGTAAGAAGCAAGTATTACTAATGTGCCCCACATAGGGATTAGTAAAAACTACTGTCACTCGAATCACTGGAGTCTGAAAATACAGCGGAACCAGAAGTTGCCCTAGGTGGCTGACCATCACCCCACGCGACCCCCACCTGCCTGCAGGGTTGGTTCCTGGGTCCCAGGTCTGCCGTCCGCTCGGGGGCGGGGCGCGGACGGCGGCGTGGTGACGTCACTGCGTGGGGACGCCCGGCGCGTCGTCGTCCGGCGCAGAGCTGGGCTGGCCGTGGCGGGTGTAGCTCGTTTCGTGGCGTGAGCCGAGGTGTTGCTGTCCGTTCCTCCGCCTTTCGCTCTTTGCCTTGTCCGGGTCTCAGCGGCCCGGAGCCGGCCAGTCATGGAGCCATCGGCGCGTCTCGCGCGGCCCCGCTGAGCTTCCGTGCCGCGGCGAGCGCGGCTCGGGGTCACCATGCCCACCCGTGAGTGGCCGCCGAGGGTCGAACCGGCCGGGGGCGTTGGGAGGCGGCGGCCGGCTCGGCGCGCCCTCTGTGGGTCGTCCGCCTGGGGTGGCTGGCGGAGCCGGGGCGGGCTGGGGAGAGCCAGGAAGTGGCCGCGACCTGCCGATCTAGTTTCGTTTCGGCGTCGCTTTCAGGGGGAGTGGCGTGAGCCCCGTTGCACGGATGGGGAAACTGAGTCTCAAGCGGTAAGGGAACTGCTGAGGACGCGCGGCTAGTAAAGTGGTAGAGCTGGTGGTAACCTGGATTTGTCGGACTTTAAAGTTCAAGCTCTTTTTTCCGGAGGTAGCCTTCCCACAGCTTACTGGGACTTTATGGAAAAGCTGAAACTAGCCGCTGTCTGGTCGTCCTTGCCTGCTCACTTTCTCTGGGACCAGGTATCCCCAGGTGGGAGGCGCCGGCGCAGGGGGTCCGAGTGCGGCCCAGGGGGTCAGAATCCGGCCCAGAGTCCTCCCGCCTGACACCCCGGAGTCCCCCGCAGGCTTGACTTGCTGCCTGTGACACGTTCGAGGTGGTTGAAGTAGGTGCTCTTTTGGGAACTTGTTAGGCATAGATGCCTCAAAGTGTGGCTCTTGGACCACTTGCTTTACATTCAGCCGGGCATGTGGTAAAAAAATGCCGGTTTAAGGCTCCTCCCTAGACTTACGGAATAAGACTCCGGAGCCTGGGCCCAGGAATCTGTATTTTTACAACGCCCCAGGTGTTACTGATGGACCCCAAAGTTTGAAAATCACTGGGTCAGGGTATTGGAGGCTTTTTCTGCATCCTGGACAAACGAGGTACAGCAGTGCTACTAATGACCCATTTTAAAATGACCCAGATACTCGCAATGTGACTTTAAACCCAGTATCCCGTGTGGATATGTGCAGAGTAGGGAAATTCCTGGTCTTGGCCGCAGAAGGAAGCTTGATGGTGCTTGAGTTGAGATTCTTTTCTTGATTTAGGTTCTTTCGAGTAAGTATTCCATACTGCAGAATCTTTAAAACCCGTGTGACTGTCTTCCTAATTAGCTGATATTTCTTCGAGTTCGTCATTAACTCCTTTAATTGTCCTTATTTTTGTAGACATATGGGACACTTCGCAGGTTAGCCTCAAGCGCGTGTTTTGTCTTCTCGTGGGTAAAGAGGAATTATTTTGTGATATTAGAGAGATTTTTGTAATGCTGTGGAAAATCTTTAAGTCATCTTGATAAAAATCTTTAAATAATCTTGATGTAAAGATTACTTTTAACTTCTTACACATGTGTGGATAGGATGAACTTTGGTTCCTTTACATAGTACTGTGTATCCTTAACTCCATGTTCTTGGACTCTGCGTTCAGTAAGTATGTCAACAGTTTATATTTTAATTTTATTCCTCTAGGCTGGAAGAATATCATAATCATGATTAATGTCAGTTTATTATTCTAAATTCATGTTCACATTATTCAGTGAATATTTGAAATTAGTATGTACTGATTAATCTTTCTGAGAAAGCAAAGGGAAAGGAATAAACACCTATTTCTTGAAAGTTAAAGTTTCAAATGAAATTTAATGATAAAAACGCAATATTACCATCCGATGACATTTTAAAAAAATTAGTTATGTTCTTGGCTTATCTAGGTTCATTGAGTGGATATAGAAAACTTGTTGCTTTTTAAATGTATGATTTACTCTGCAGAATGACTTTAACTAGGATAAGCATGGTGTATTTTCCATAGTTAAGAATTCAGATTTCATGTCTGGACTGGAGGGCAAGTGCAATGCTTGAGTTGTCTGTCCTTATTATTGCTAATATTTGTCATACTGCATTTTCTATGATTGAATAAAAGTCTGGTACCGATCAATGGTGCTGATATGAGGTCAGGAGTATTCATAGTGCCTTTTCTCTCCTTTGGTAGCCAGAGTTGCTAGAATGGCTGGGATGGTGCAGTGGATAGTGCTACTTCTCAGAAATTCTGTTTGTAGAATACATTTCCAACATGTCAGGTACATAAGCAGAAACTGCAAAATTATTATTTACTTTAGGAATATTTTTAGGAAGAAAACCCTCTTTAAATAAGCTGAGGTTTTGTTGTTGTATTTTTTAAATGTCAAATTAAATGAGAGGCTCATTTACAAGCTCAGCCAGTTAATCCTTAAGGGTTTAGCCAAATTAAAGTAATGCTTTTCTGTAAAATGAAGGGCTTGGAGATGATCACTAGGGTCTCTCAGATTCTAAAATTCTGAAAGTGACCAGTGCTCTAAGTCATAGAATTATTCCGCTGTTGCCGTTTTTAAAATATACTTGCTTATTTGGAATTTTGGTACTCATTCCTTGAAACTGGTGTTGATAAGTAGAACCCAATCAAGCATAGTAAATGCCTGAAGGAGCATCAATTTCATATCAGCTTCTTTGGAGTTATTCTGGAGATAATACTCTTTCTGAGAAAGCAACTACCTGGAAGAATGCCTGGCTGAAAGCTGTCCAGATACTAGGACAATTTTGTGATCAAGTCACTGTATTGAGCGTATATTTTGCAGCAGTCACTAGGCATGATTCAAAACGTTTCACGGAATGATTTTTTCAAACCTATAATTTGACACATCATTTCTCTAAAGGCTTTTATTTTCACCCTCCATTGAAATGACCATTAAGAAGCATTTTGATCTTAAATATTTTCAAACTCTGAATCAGAATTCGAGCTGCAGTGAATGTTAAAGCTTCTTAATCCAGTCATTTTATTTTGCATATTAGAAGGCTGAGACTCTGAGTTTCAGTGACTTGGCTAAAGTCACACATGGAGGAGAACCAGGACTATGGCTAGGGGGAATGGAAACTGAGCCATTCTTTACTTTTAAACTATGCTGTCAGTAATTGTGGTTACTGCTTTCTTTTCCCGTTTAGATACTGGCATTGAGATCTCATCAAATTTGTTAGGCTCTGGTAATGTGGTCATTCCGTGTTTGTTTTTCCTTTGATCAGGCTGGTTATATTTAACTTATTTGCAGTTCATTCTTATGAATGAAATGCAGAATGTGGATGAATTGTGAAGGGTGGCAGTGGTTGAAGTGTTTCCTTTTAGAAACATATTGCGAGCAATCTTAGGAACACTTGACCTAGATATGCGTATTACTGACTTCTGAGCCTTTCTGTGTCGGTTCGTGTTTGTGTGCTCTCTCTCTTTCCATTCTCACCTAGCATCTGTGTATCCTGCCAGAGTTGCGGCTGAAGAGTCTTCTTTCCGCCGTGACCTTTGTCTTGACAGTGCTTTCATTGCTGCCCAGATCTCACCTTTCTGACTCAACTCAGGCTCGTGGGGACATAGCCACCAGTTGCAATCAAGTGAATTCCAACTCACGGCGACCCCATGTGTGTCATAGTAGAACTGTGCTCCATAGGGTTTTTAATGTCCGTTTTTTTCAGCAGTGCATTGCCAGACCTTTCTTCTGAGGCACATCTGCGTGGACTCAAACCACCTTTCTTTCGATTAGCAGCCAAGTGTGTTAACCATTTACACCACCCAGGGACTTCTCTTCGGGACACAGGGCTACATTAAAGATTATATAGGTGGTGGGAGATAAAGCTAGAGAGGGAGATGGGAGCCACAATTGGAAGGGTTTGGTATGCCATAAAAAGAAGCAAATAACTTGACTTGAAATTATGTTCAAGCTGTTAGATAATGGCTGTCTATTTTATGGGCATATTAGCACTTTCCAATTAATGGTTACTGTATAAAACTAAAAAAATGGTTTATTATTAGTAATAGGAATTCATTATTGAATATTGATTGTATGTCAGGCAGTATACTTTGTGCTTTATATGCATTATCTTATTTAATGCTCACTTTCTGAGGGAGGCTCTCTTTGACCTATGTTAGAGTGGAGGGATTGAGATTCAGGCAAGAAGTTAAGTAACATGCCTAATGACAGTAAGTGGTAGAGCTGGAATTGGAACTACGTCAGCCTGACTTTTTTCCATACTACATTGCTCTGAGCCAGGCAGACATTGAACTTACAGTTGTCAGATCCTATTAGTTTCTATAAACACTGTGTCACTTGTGGTTAGCCCTGTGCCTGGTACATGATAGGTGCTTGGTAAATGTTGAAGAAATGAATGATTGAATCTTATATGCAATCAGAGAAATTATTCAGTCTACACAATAACAAGCAAAATGAGGTACAGTAGAAAAGGCAGAAGTTTAAATTGTTGCAGCTTTTTGAGGAAGTAGTTTGGCAATATATTGTTAAGTACCCTAATAATGTTTGTACTCACTGAACCAGAAATTTCACTTTTTGGACTCTATCCTTTAGAAATGATTGAAAACATAGATAAAGATTTCTGCAGGAAGATAGCTGTCACAGTAATATTTATCATAATGAAAACTCAGGAACTACAGTATCCAATAATGGGGAAGTGGTGGAAGTTAAATGTAGAATATGCTTACAGTGAAGTATTTAGCAACCATTAAAAATGGTATTTCTGAAGGTTTTCAGTGGCAGGGGACATACTTGTGAGAAATGGTAGGTGAAAAGGAGAATGTCTAGGGTAGAGAGGGAATGAGGGAGAGTGCTGACACAGTGCAGGGATTGCAAGCAACGTCACAAAACAATTTGTGTATAAATTTTTGAATGAGAAACTGATTTGCACTGTATACTTTAACCAGAAGCACAGTTCAAAGCAAAGGAGGATGTCTGACGTTATGTCAGAATATGCGCAGGAGAGGGGGACTATAACCATCACTCATCTGGTGCTGGGGTTATGGATTATTTTAATTTCTTCTCTATAATTTATGTTTTCCAGATTTTCTGCAGTTAGCGTATATTAATTGTATAATGTTTTTACAACTTTTAACATAAATTTTTCAATTTTTTCAAAAACATGAAATGAAACATTACAATATTGTGCTGAACTGGTACTTCCTTTAGCCTGTAGGAAAGAATTTTGAGTAACTGATCAAATAGTTGACTGTATATAGTGGTTAAGGAGCCCTGGTGGTGCAGTGGT